AAACAAGTATTAATAGAGGAAAATGAGTCGTCCACTTAATGAACACATTATCGAAGCTTCTTGTTTGTCAACCATGATCTCCATTGGAGACTAACAAATATTTTCAGGAAAGAGAGATGATTGAAAAATAAAGTGTGCCGTCTTTCATGGGCAATCTTGTTTTAGCATTTCCAAGAAATTAATCAAGTGGGACCTACTCATTAGAGACTTTCTTACCCAACTTTGTTCGACACTAATTTAAGTTTTTATTTGGTTACCAACTGTGTTGTCCAATGCTGCACTAAAACAAGTTCAATGATGCCCATCATGTGCATTGTCTTTCTATGCTTAAAAAGTTCTTTTTCTTGAGCTCTGTGGTTTCGTCGTGTATTTCCATTTGGTTTAGATATGAGAAACTATCATAATATAAATAATTAACACAAGAAAATGATGAAAGATCGTGCACAGTATTCAATGCGCTCATTAAAATGGGATCAGAAAGATATTGATTTTCGAATTTAAACGTGTGACTTATCAATTGAATATATGAATACTTATTTTGGATACAAGCTCAACATCAACACAGTAAAATGAAAAAAATTTATCTGCATTTAAATTTTATATCCGCTTGAACATAAAAAATTAAATTTCAGGAATATTCAGTATATTGACACCTGACAGTCCAGAGTAACTGTGGAAGTATCACGTGGCAAAATCTAAATAAAGGCGAAAAATTACTAGCCACTACCATATTCGAAAAGGAAAAATAATTAATTGGGAGTTAGCCATCAGTAACCGTTGATAGAAACAAAACTATCAAAGATAATGGCTATAAAAGGGCACTTAGTGGAGGAAATAAAAATACACTCAAACTCTTAAAAGACTCATGATCTGGGCATTATTAGGAGTAGTTTAAATTAGTTATGGAAAACAATTAATGTTGTAATCAAGATTGTTTTATTTAGTTATTTATAACCGAAGTCTCTTCAATTGAATTAATAAATGAATCATTTTTTATAAATTATTTGTCATTTTATTTCGCCTTTGTACAGTGTGATTATCCTTTATTTTTCATCTAATGAAGTTCTAAAACAAGATATTTGAACCCATTCGAAACAGTCACTTGAAAACGGTCCATCAATTGAGACATTTTTATCGATCTCAACAGATTTTAGAGTAACAATTTCATACTAAATAATGGGTTGCATTCTTTCACAAAGGGGCTTAGAAGAGCAGAGGAGATCAATCGCCTCCCAAAGTTTAAAAATACACATATTAGGGGTTGTTTCCCATTAAACTTCTGTATACTATATTTTAAACGACACTTTCAAAGACTTGTCCTAAAACTCAAATGCTAGACCCGATATTGCATTCTCTCATCTACGGTGGATGATCCATGTATCTTTCGAGGACACTATTAAAGAGTGTAGAATTTGACTGAAAAACTCCAATTATGCTGTTTCCCATGATAGGAAGAGCAGTATTTAGAGTTGGTAGGCCATGCCTTAGGAAATTTCTCACAAGGTATAAAAGCAAATCTTGCAGACGGAAGACTTGGGTCCTTCTTTTGCTCTTTAATGGGACTCCACTAGCAAGATTGCTTTGAAAATCTTATTTGATTCTGATGGCCCTAATAAGGAAAAGGTTGGTCAATAAGATCTTATTATTATTATTATTTTTTTGGTGATATGGTCCCAAATCCTCCTCTTAAGTCAAAATGTAACTGAAAAGAATCACACATCACACAACAGAAACAGTTGTGTGTCAATCCAAACCCATGTACAAGGGGGGACAAAGGACACAATTTGTCTTTGTTTAAAGTTCGTTAAAGATCCTAAATGCATGAGGAGTAATTATAATGATCTCTCGTCACTATGGGATTTAAAAAAAAATTAGATGTTCATCTCCTTATCTCAATATGCACAAAGTCGATTTTGGTGACTCAAATCTTGACATTTAGATCACGATAGAATAATTGAATATCGACGTACAACTGACCAATTTATTTATTAGTTTTTCTCACTCGAGCCCATTTGAGTATTTGAATTAGTGAACTCTACTAAATCACAAGAATCGTCTAATAATTATGGTTATGTCATGTCAATTGAAAAGAAATTAGTAATAGTAATATTCTTTTAATGTTATATTTTAATTTGTATCAAGTTGGTCAAGTTTGAAACTTGAAACTGGTTTTACTAACTGTTCAAAATCAATTGCTAATATTCTAAATTTGTGAGATTTCTCAATGGTTTGAAACTTGAAACTGGTCTTGTTAACTATTCAAAATCAGTGGCTAATATTCTAAATTGGTGAGATTTCTAAATGGTTTGAAATTTGAAACTGGTCATGCTAACTGTTCAAAATCACTAGCTAATATTCTAAATTGGTGAGATTTTCAAATGGTTTGAAACTTCCCATATATTTCTCTTTTTCTCTCATTAATTGGAATACACATGATTTAAATAAGACCTCTCCAAGATTTACTAGCAACGTAATAATTTACTAGGGTAACTCAGCGGTATGAGATTGAATCTAAATTGAATGTAAACTGGGACGTTTTAAATTTGATTCTTGACGATGACTCTCAGTGGTATGAGATTGTTTCTCCATAATTACTCATAACTGACTCTCATTAGTTTATGAAGAGTTGGATAGCAGTAATAAATCTTGTTTTAATTTATTTATAATTATTTACCTAAAACTATCAAATTAAGTTAAATAATAATACATAAAAAATTTATAATGTTTTATTTTAATTGGTAAAATACGGGGTATAGTACCAAAAATTTATTTTCAGTACCCTAATTGGACCCACCCAAGGACACTCTCATATGTTCAACCACCCAATTACATATCATGAGAATCATTGAACTTGATACTTATTTGATCAAGCGGTTCATGTGCCATACTAGGCCACCTGTTGTCAGCCTCATGATAAGGGCCAACACAGTAGCAAGCAACACGTGGCAGACAAGATGTGGGGCCCATACCATCAATTGTGAAATAAAAATATTTGAACAGTGTGAGAAAAAAACTTTCTGCTTTTAGACATCCTCGATGGGGACAGATTCTATGAATTGCAGATTTAGATCTGAAGGCCGAAAAAGGGGCCCGCCAAAGATTTTTTATATTTTTCGCAAGGCCCCACAAAGATTTTCAAAAATTTTCTTGTGGGTCCCAAGTCCTGGTCCCCTCTCAAACCTTTAATTTATTTCATGTCACCATCAGTATAATTACACAGGATTGATTCCATATTTTCATGCTCAGCTCATCTCAATGTACAGTGGTCCCAATTTTCCTTTTGCAGTCCTCAACTTTATAATTATTATGCTGGGGCCCTGAGTTTAATGAATCTGTTTAGCCAGAATGAGAAATAGAACTCCAATTTATGTTAGTTGGAGATCTGATTGATTTTCTTCATCAACTACCCCTCAACTATCTTTATTATTACTTTTTCTTATCATAAAATCCATCATATTTTTTGCATCTATATCTCATATAATATATATTCTTTTAATAAATTCCCCTCAATGGTGGATCAGACATAATATATTAGTGGAGAACAATTTATCCATAGTGTATCCTATTTGAATTCACGTCTAGATGTCTCCCTCTTTCTACATTATTTTGAATGATAAGACATGTCTATTCACGTTTTATCCAGCGTTTTCTCTACCATCAGCAATCGGAATTGTTATTTTGTCTACTCCCACAGTAAGAGCTCGTTCGCTGCTCTTGACATCTTTCTGTTAAGCCATTGAACTCGTATGTATAAGCAACGGGGGTTGCGTTCACCACAAATTCTACGCTGATCCATTCCTTTCAACCTTGATCCTTAGTCGCAGTTGTTGGCAACACGCATCATAAAGTCTTTAGATTGCCTCACTATGGAAAACTAGTGAAAAATAGATTTGAAAAGATCCAAATCCCGAAGTCTTCAACAAGGCAATATGAATTTCTTATGCTAAACCAAAACTCTTTGACATAATAGTGATGCATGTGATAACATTGCTTCTATTACAAGTAATATCAGGATTTCATGATTCTAGATTGGAAAACATATACAATTATGTGAGGATAATCCTCTTTTTAATAATTGCAACATACTTACCCCATTGTCCAAGAAAGTTTTCTTCTTGAGTAATAATATAGGGCATTTACATGGAATTTACCAAAGAAAGAAATTATTTTATCTCTTACATTGCTAAGTGTAAACATATAAATATTTTCCTTCATAAAAAATGATTAAAAAATTAATATTTTTCTACAAGAATTTATTAAAAAATTTTTTATTGAAAATATAAATCCTTTCAAAAATATTGGTCAATATATTAAAAATATTTACTTGAGACGGTGGGACATGTGAAAACCCAAAACATCGATAAATAGAAAAGGATGCCCACGAGTGTAAGTTTGATGGCAGAGCTTTAGTGGTATATACGACCAGGTTTTGAATTCATGTCTCATAACAATTATCTTGGATGAGTTGATGTGTATATCGAGTTTCTATTATAACCGTATGTACAAAGAACACAGGTTTGAACAATTTTCGATTATAAAAAATTTACAAATGGGTTGTGAATTTTTGCTTTACTTCGGGCCTTCTTAAAGCTGGCAGTGCTTTTGGAAATGACTAAACTATGCTATTTTTCAGTCGAGGACCAGACAAAACTCCTCCAATTCAGCCTGAGCATGCAAAGCTGGTGTGTATTAAAGTGTTAGAAAAAGAATCAAACAGTAAAAAGGTTATGAGAGAGAGAGAGAGAGGAGAGGGAGAGGGTTCAAAACATTATCTTAACTTGTTAACCACTTTTCAAAGTCAAGCAATTCAATCCCAAAATCAACTTGAGATTATGTGGACAAAATGAGAACAAAGATCTCATGGATTTTCCTTTGACATCTATCCTAAAATCCTTTGGCTATCAACCCTAAATCCAAACAAAGAAAAAACATGAGAGAGAGAGAGAGAGAGGACCCCACAGGTAGAGGGGAGGATGCCATCAGTAGTTGTACCAACGCGGTGTCTGTAGAGAATCTAGTGAGAGATCACACAAAGGAAAAAAACACCAACATTTTCTGCAACCACAGATTGCTTCTCAACTACTCAATAAAAACCTACGGATGATCCAACACCCACTCCACTCCATTCCTCCTAAGCACGCCTCTCTCTCTCTCTCTCTCTCTCTCACACACACACACAAGCACACAGAGATAGCTAGACAGGCATATAAATTATGAGGCATACACTTACATAGATGAAGCAAGGCGAATGAACTCAGAAACTGTAAATTTGAAAGGGTCTTTTTTATACCAGTTGTTCGAACAAATGGATTTGAATTTAAACTCTGATGGAATCAAAAACCAGAAGGAGCAACAAAAAGAACATCTTCATGTGTTAGCTGTTGATGATAGTCAGATTGATAGAAAGCTTTTGGAGAGGCTCTTAACTGTTTCTTCATACAATGGTTGGTGTACTAACTTAGTTTTGTTTCACTCGTTATAGGAATTGGTGTTTAATATAATCAATAATCGCTCTCTCTCTCTCTTGAATCTTGATGCAGTAACTTTTGTGAATTCTGGGGATAAAGCGTTGGAATACCTGGGTTTGCTAGAAAATACAGATAATGATTCAACAACTTGTTCTTCTTCCTCTTGTTGTACATCTTCTACAGCTCAGGCATCACAGCAGGAGGTGAGAATTCTAATTTCAGTATCATCTTTCTTTCTTCATTTTTCCCATGCCGTTTCCTTTCTTCATTGCAGTATGTTTTTTGTTGAAGCTTGTCCATGTTACTCGTTTATCACAGATCTCACTGGGTATGAGAGAAGAAAAAAGGGGTGTTGGGGGATTCAGACATTGATTTTCTTGGTTGCTTTTAGTTTTCTAAGATCAATTTTATTGTGGAATATAGTTACAATATTACAATATTTTACACCAATTTGAAAATATATATAGTTTTTAAAAAGCTGTCTTTTTCCCTTTTAGCTCTTTTTTCCAATTTCTTCTTCTTCTTTCTTTTGTTTTGTTTTGGGAAGAACCAAAGAACAGGTAGCTGTAGATAGTAGAAATTTGCCGTAAATGTGGTGATATGGTACTTGTGACAACCTACTAAATATGTAGTACATAATATTTCTAAGGTAGAAAAGTTTTAGTCTCAAATAGTAATTGAACATTGCCCATCACTCAGTAAAAAACATAAAAGATTTATATAATTCTAGTATTTAGCCTAAAGATTTTAACCAGTCAATTGAAATCGGCTTGACTCAACAAAATCTTATCTCAAAAATTTGGAGTTATTCATTATCGACACAACCTTCTTGTTTTACCCGGGCTTTCCTGGCTTGCTCCCATTTCTCTTACAAATGTGGTTAGACACATGCATTGCTGAAAAAACATTGGATGATAGGATTAAAAGGACCAGTAAGAATCTAATTAGAAAAGCATTATTTCCCACATCTACTTTTACTTTGATGTTCAAATACCGAAGGAAACATGACAATCCAGAAGGTTTTTTCTTTGCAAAATGTCCCAAGAAAATATTTTGGACAAGGACAGAATTGCTATACAGTATACATAGATGGTCATTATGAAGTAGTGGCCAACATCAATTCAAATCCTGTTACTCATTACCATGTCTGTTGTTAAAATGAAGTTCTTGACTTCGTAGCATTAACGTTGAGATCAATTTTGTTTGAAAAATAAATATAAATATTATTTTTTGTATTTAGAAAGTTGCGTGTATCTATCCTTCTCCAAACCTTATAGGAACGGGAACCTCAACTGAACTGCCTTTTTTTTTTAATTTGCAAATTAAAGCAATGCTTGTACAATTCAATAATGGGGAGACATGCACAAACATTTCTTTCATTGCTCGTGATTTACCCTACTTTTTCTGCTCCTCTTTCTTGTATCCTTTGATCAATTTGAGTGAAAATTTCTTAATTTTTTTTTTTTTTGCATTTTGTGGGTCATTTCTATTTAATTAATATTAATATGTTTCAAATGTTTATCTTAATTAATCAATTACAGGCCTTGAAAGTCAACTTGATCATGACGGATTATAGCATGCCAGGGATGAGCGGTTATGATTTGCTCAAAAGGGTCAAGGTCAACCACCACAACCAACATTTACATTATTTTTTGTTTCTTTTTCTACTGTTCATGTTCAATACTATAACATTATGTGACCTAGTAAATCAGTTAGCTGAAACTTAGCAATAGAACAAAAATTTAAGTATACTAAACCATGTTATTGTAGAAGTCTTTGACATTGCAACATAGTTTAATATATAGTTATATCCTTTGCTGAGAACAGGTGATAGTATAGAAAAAGAATAGAGTTATACAACTGATGATATTATTAAAATGCAGCATAAAGTTGGTGTCATACATTGGTTTAGCAGATAAAAGGACCCGGATTCTTTCCTGTACTTTCTCTCAAAGGTAGATCATTTAATTATTGTATAATCACTGAAAAAAAGTGAGATAAGGTATACTTAAGAGCATCTAAATCAAAATTAGGATTAAAAAAAAAAGTGGTTTATAACTTTTCTTTTTCAATCTTTTGTATCTTTTCAATGGCAATTTTTTTCGTCTTAATTCCATCAAGAGGCCTTATTATGCAAGAATGTGGTGGACTTTACAAAGAAATTAAAAAAAAAAACTGGAAAAAAATAATAAGAAATTGGAAAAAAGAGAACCTTCTAAACTGCTAATTCAGAGAAGCACCAAATTACTACCATTTCTTCTCAAATTTACTCCCTTCTCAAAGTGGCTTATGCATTTGCAGGAATCTTCATGGAAAGACGTACCAGTGGTGGTCATGTCGTCAGAGAATGTACCCTCCAGAATCAACATGTAAACCTTTTTTAACCTCTATCCCTCTGAAATTTCACCATTGCATTTCACATATCATCCTATAGCAGGTAGCCTCTCTTTGCACACGAGTAAGGCTGCATAAATATGATCATTTTTAAACTCCATAACAATGAGGGAGGCTCGTGTATTGCAATGCTTATTCGTACACAGCATAAAACTGCATTTTTTTTCTTTTTGTCTTTCTAAGATCTCCTAACCAGGGGAAGCTTGTACATTTTTTATCCTTTTCAGATCTTGTAGTGATGAGAAATTCGTGCACTTAGCCATCCTAAAGTATCTCTTTGTAAGATTATGCTAAGATGTATATTTTGATTGATTGTGTAGGTGTTTGGAAGGAGGAGCAGAAGTGTTCCTGTTGAAACCTGTTAAACTATCAGATCTAAGGAAGCTTCAATCTCACCTGATGAATTCCATTATCGATGACAGCTTCGTCGATGACAATTGCAGCAATAAAAACATTGACAACGATAACAACAATGATAAGAACAACAATAACACTAACAAAAGGAAGGCAATCTCCCCAGAGTGCTCAGAGAGAAGACCCAAGTTGAAAGAAGTAGCTGTGTTATAATATTTTGGAGGTTTTCCGTATAAAATATGCTTGGTTTGCCATCATCTTTGTATTGACTGTTGTTTTATGGACTTTATAACACAATGACATCTTATAGCAAAACTTCCTCTCTAAATAGATCTGCAGTAACTCTCCTGCAAGAATTGAAAACTTTGAGTTTAAAGTCTACAAGAAAAAGTCTGAATACTTTTTCAAATTACGTCCTGTGTTAGTAAAGAAAGTTTAGACTCGGAGACCTCCGGACACATTTATTCTTAAGATTTTATTTGAGCGTAATTGGGTCAAGCTTGTAAGTCTTGCAGATGTTGCCTGTGATGAGATTGTTAGAGAGTTCTACATCAGTCAACGGATCACATTTGGTTCTATTGATCCACAGTCAAATTTGAGTTCTTCATAATTTGATATCCAAACTAGTCGAGAAAAATAGTTTTAAATAAGATTATTTGAGTAACTTGATATTTAAATAAAAGATGGACTTATGTCTCAAAATTAGTGGGACCAAGTTTAAACGCGTTCTTTTTCGTGAGGAGATGAATGTCGTATATTTATTTGTCTAAAATCATTAAATATTGAATGAGAAATTATATCTCAAAGTGACCGATTTAAAGTGATGAAATAAACTAAAATAGATGTAATGGAATAAGGTTTGTCCCATATTGGAAGAAGACCAATACTTTGGTGAGTTAATATATACTTAGTTGGCTTCATGGATTGGGCCTTAGGTGGTACCACACTTTTGTGAGCGGAGCGAGCGCTTACATTTCCTTGGTCACCACACACGCGTGTCGCCTCGCCATGCCACGACCCAATTGGGCTTGGGCCAAAAAAGATATAATCTTTTTGGATAAAATTTATTTGGAGCGGTGCGGGTCATGTGTCAAACCAATCAAATCCGAATGCGGATCGTAATTAAAATCCAACCGAATTTTTAAATTTCCTATAATTTGACGTAGAAATTGGGTCTAGTTCATTCTAGAAAGACTGTTCACTCTAGAGATGCATTTGGTGTCTTTTGCTTGTTCAAATTGTGTCTCTTTAATATGAACATTGGCTTCTCATGCCTCTTCAGGTGATCTGAACAGTCACCAGGGGTCTATAAGTAGATTGTCCCATTGTCATTTCAATCCATCCCAATTTTGGATTCCTATTTCAAAATTTCTTGTCTCTTTCTCTACATATTGTTGTATTTTTCTTGTAGGTCGGTTCAAGTATAAATACAAGTTTTTTGTCACTGGAGTTTTGAAGATTTAAGTACTGCTTCTTCAAGAACGTAAAATTTATTCCATCTTGTGAGACAATTGCTCATCAACCTTAAACACCGAAAGAAAACAAATATGTCTTAAGAAAATTATGTTTCACAAGGCTCGGGTTGAATATTCTGGTTTTTTTATTTTATTGTTCGTGTAGATCTACGTCATTGTGAGTGCACTGTTTTTACTTATGATATATGTGTAACAATATATAGATATAACTTGAATTCTGTTTATTGCATAAATTAGACTTCATACAGTTTAATACAATCTTATTATATACCTATTTTATATAACAATCTTAAGACAAATTTTGTTTTATAATTAGATTAAGTACTGTTATAATTTTAAAACAGAAGGGTACTCTTTACAGTGATAGTCAGAGTGTCATATTCCTTGCCAAGAATCTGACATTTCATTTAGGACGAAGCACATTCAGATCAGGTATCATTTCATATAGTCCTTGCTTGATGATAGTCAGTTGTTACTTGAGAAGAACTGTGGAACTAAGAACCCGATAGACATGTTAACTAAGAGTGTCACTATTGAGAAGCTGAAGCTATGTGCAACTTTAGTTGGCCTTCTTGCTTGAGGACAGGAGGATGAGTTGCAGGGCTGAGGGATTGTGTTTTTTTGGGAGGATTGCAGTTGATGTTGATGATTGAACTAGTCTCCAAGTGGGAGATTTGTTGGGCTTTTGTGGAGTCTAATTTTTTGTGTTAATTCGGATGATGATCTGACCCTAAATAATGTTGCGTGGTTAGGGTTTGATTGACTCTGTACAACCGCTCTGTATTCCTTCTTGATAATAGTGAAATCCTTGCAGCTTCGTGGACGTAGGTAAATTGTCGAACAACATAAATACTATCTTGTGCATGTGATTATTTTTCTTTGGCGTGTGTTTTCTCTATTGTTGTTTATCACACGTTTGGGAATTTTGTGTGAATTTCCTAACACACATGAAATCATTCACCAAATGATTACCCCTTATTCACCTCAATCAAATGGCATAACAGAACACAAAAATCAAACATTGAAAGGAATGATAAATGTTATGTTGTCAAGTTCAAGAACACCCCCAAACTCGTGGGGGGAAGCTTTATTATCTGTTAATTATATTCTTAATAAGGTGTCTCATAAGAAAACTAATAAGATACCATATGAATTTTGGAAAGGTTGAAGACCTTCCTATAAATTCTTAAAAGTGTGGGAGTGTCTAAGCAAAAGTGGTAGTTCCTAAATCTAAAAAAATTAAGATATGACCAAAAATCATTGATTGTGTATTGATTAGTTATATCCATAACACTTATGCATATCGATTTTTTATTTATAAGTCTTAGATTCTTGATATGCATATCAATATGACTATAAAGTCAATGAATGCATCATTCTTTGAAAATAATTTTTCATTTAATATGTTGCATGAATCAAACTCATTAAAGAGACCAATTGAGGCAAAAATTAGTAATGGTAAAGACAAGGAGTTCGTTGAAGATGAACCAAGACGTAGCAAGAAGACAAAGACTTCAAAGTCATTTGGTCATGATTTTCTAACTTATATATTAGAAAATAATCCCTAAAGTTTTAAAGAAACTATGTCCTCTCCTAAAACTCTTTATTGGAAGGAAGTTGTCGATTCTGAAATCGAATCTATTATGTGGAATCATACATGAGTTGATGGATCTTTCACTAGGTAACAAACCTTTAAATTGTAAATGGATCTTTAAAAAGAAGATAAAAGCTGAGGAATCTATTAATAAGTACAAAACTAGACTTGTAACCAAATGAAATAAACAAAGGGAAAGATTGGGTTATTTTGACACTTATTCACCAGTTGCTAGAATTACTTTCATATGGATGTTAATTGTTATAACTGCATTGAATGGTCTTGAAATACATCAAATGGATGTAAAGATATCATTCTTAAGTAGTGAATTAGATGAAGAAATATACATAGAACAACCTGAGAGGTTCATTGCTAATAGACAAGAAAAGAATGTACAGAAGCTTGTTAAATATCTGCATGGTTTAAAACAAGTACCAAAGTAATGGCATGAAAAGTTTAACAAAGCAATGATGTTAAATGGGTTCAAAATAAATGAGTGTGACAAATGAGTATATGTCAAGAGCACTCATAGTGGATATGTTATTGTATGTTTTATGTAAACGACATACTAATTATAGACATTAATAACAATGTCATTAAAACTACCAAGCAGATGTTGACAAATAGGTTTGAAATGAAAGACCTAGGTGTTTCTGACGTTATATTAGGAATTAAAATTTCTAAAATGTCAAAGGGATTCAAGCTATCTCAGACTCATTATATTGATAAAGTAATTGATAAGTTCAAGAAGTATGAGATAAAACCTATGAGAACACCTGTTGATGTTAATATTCATCTTTCAAAGAATAATGACGAAAGCATATCTCAGATAGAATATGCATGTATAATTGGTAGTTTAATGTACATTATGAGTTGTACCTGTCCAGATATCGCATACTCTGTGAGTAAGCAAAGTCGATATACTAGTAATCCCAAAAAAGACCACTGCAAAGCAATTATTAGAGTTTTGGGATATTTAAAACATACTCAAAACTGTGGTCTACACTACATGAAGTACCTAGTAGTACTCGAGGGTTATACCGATGCTAATTGGATATCCAATACTAAAGATTCAAAATTCACAAGTGAATATGTCTTTACCTTAGGTAGTGTAGTCGTGTCTTGAAAATCCTCAAAGAAAACTTGTATTGCTAGATCTATAATGGAATCTGAGTTCATTGTCTTAGATAAAGCTAGAGAAGAAGTACAATGACTTTGTAACTTCTTAGAGGATATTTCAAATTAGCCAAAGTTTGTGCCTGCAATATGCATTCACTGTGATAGCCAAACTACGATTAAAAGGACACATAATTGTATGTATACCGATAAATCTAGACACATACGTCATAGACACAGTACCGTTAGACAATTGTTCTCTAATAGTGTTATATCCATTGACTATGTAAAGTTAAAAGACAATATTGTGGATACGTTTACAAAAGGTTTGACAAAAGAGCAAGTGACAAGTTCATCAAGGGGAATAGGCTTAAAGCCTATTATTTAACTAAGAGTCACTATAATAGCAACCCAACTTCGTTAACTGGAAATCCCAAGATCTAAGTTCAAATGGACAACTGACTTATGTGTAACTTAGTACACACTGAGGAGATTTTCTAAACTCCGTCCCATTCCTTTGATGAGACAGTGCATATTTGCCGCAAGAATTAGGGTAAGTTACACTTTTAAGGATATTCTATGATTTGGAAATGTTCAAGTGGGGTAAAGCAAGATAATCTTAATTAGAAATCACTTATGTGAGTAAAGAATGGGCTACTTCTATGAGAATCGTAAGTTGATTACTCTAAAATTACTCATAAATCAAATGGTGTTCAAGGCCAAAATGAACACAAATGTGACAACCAACTGTGTGCAAAGGGAAACTGTGTGAATTCTATTGTCTTGATTTACATAAAATGGTTGACAATTCAAAGACATCATGTCCACCAATTAGCCAAGTACATCCAATAGTATACACTACGAAAAGTTAAAGGTCACTGGCTACTTATCCAAATGTAGTAATCTTTCACCTGTACTTGAACAAGTGTCTGCATTATCATACATCGAATTTTCATTCATTTAGGGGATTGTTGGAAAAAATGGTTTAAACAAGATTATTTGAGCAACTTGAAACTTAAATAAAAGAGAAACTCATACCACGAAATTGGTGGGACCAAATTTAAACGCGTTCTCCTCTACGAGGAGATGAATGTCGTATATTTATTTATCTAAAACCATCAAATGTTGAATGAGAAATTATGTCTTAAA